TTGTTTTTATAAAAAGTAATTATGCAAATTTGTTGTGAGAATGATTTGCTTCAACGGGATGTTTCTCTATAAACTGTTGGGAGTCAGAGGGGTTTTTTACTATGAGAAAAAATGAATATTGCTTCATTTTCCCCTAGTTTCTGTTCTGTTTTAGCTGCATGGAGATAAATTCAATGTTTTTGGCAAACTGTCCATTTGCAATGCGAACTGATTACAGACTTACATAAGATTGGGTGCGATACGTTTGTTTTTATATGTGAAAAAAAGATGGGCTGTTATAAGCCTATAGCCTCAAAGGTACTGTAACAAAAGGCAGAGGTACTGTAGCAAACTTTCTAGGATTACGACGCCTCTATACTGATAGGTAGATGGTTTCTATTCAATTTAACGAAGCAACTTTTTACGCTTCTGTTCTCCCAATGGCCATACTATCTGACTTCCTAAGAAATCTGTTGTTGGCCCCTTCAGTGAACTTTGTTTGAGAATATCCTAGAAGCCCATCGAACTCAAAGGCACCGAGTTGGCGTAGTGCTGGCTGACTCATTTATTTACCTTATTGTTAGCTGAATCATCTAATTACGAAACAGCAAAACAAACACCTTTTGCAAACCACAGCTGAACTATCTAATTTCGAAAAAAGAAAACAAAAGTGCACGTTCTGCACTCCCTCATTGGGGTTGTCGATGGTGTGTGTCAGAGAATCGATGGCGATTGGAACGCCGACACAAGGGATTTGAATTCATGTAAAGAGAGCCTCAGTCAACTAAAGACATCTACGAAATTTAGAAGAATATGGAAATATCTGGAACCAGCGTCCATCTTTAGTGTTCTTCGGGTTTTCTTCAATCTCACCAGTAATGAAAACAACGAGAGTCCAGGTTACAGATTTTTTGGACAGCCTATTCTCCAAACGGTTTCTTCTGAAAAAAAAAATGCGGCCTCTCTACCACTGGAAGACCATCAGAAACTCCTCGATGGCACACGACTAACTGCCATGTAAAAATGAACAGTTTTGTAGTTCATGACTATGAAGCTTGAAATTGAGGAGCAACCACTCCATTGGTCGATTGGAAACTATTGCCGAATGTAAAGTACAGTGGTGTTTTTGTAATATTTATCTCATTTAATGTATCAACAACATATATAAGCATACTAAAATATTTATCAAATCAACCGGCACAGTGACATGTTAAAAGAAACCAGATCATAGTACTAAGGAACCACATAAAGGAAATTCCGGTTGATCAGATGAAACCACTTTTCAACATAAAACGAAATCAATAAGACTTAGAAACAATGGAAACCACCACCGCCGCATCCAGGACCGTGGTTACGACAGCAGTGACCAAAAGCAGGGCAATGATGCTTGGGACCAAAAGAAGGGCAATGATGCTTGGGACCAAAAGCAGGGCAGTGGACGCTATGACTGTAACCGTGCACACATCCTTGGTGATGCCCAAATCCATGCCCATGACCGTGGCCGAACCCACAGCCATGGAATGGAAACGGCCTACAACCAAATTCCATCATGGGAGAACCGAATGATCCGCAGAAACAACCAAAATACGGAGGAGGGGGATGAGAAGGAGGAGGAGGTGGTGGAGGTCCACAGCGATGAATAGAGTGGTGAGGAGGAAGAGGAGGAGGAGGTGGAGGTCCACGGGGGTGACAAGAATGATGAGGAGGAGGGGGAGGAGGAGTTGGAGGTCCATGGGGGTGACCAGAGTGGTGAGGAGGAGGGGGAGGAGGAGGTGGAGGCCCATGGAGGTGACCAGAGTGGTGGTGGTAGTGGCTCTTAGGGTGATCATGGCTTACAGAATGATGAGGGAAGGGTTCAGGAGAATGTTCGTGACTTCTCGAACTGCGACTTGACGACGAGCGACGGCTACGAAAACGATGTTCGTGCAGGTGACGTTGCCATGGCGGAAGTTCATCTCCATCGGGACATGCAGCGTCATCGTCCTGGACGTGAGCAAACAGCGGTCTTCGATTATTACCGGCAGCAAGTGCTACTGCATCGACGCCTTTTAGTTGGAATAGTCCCTGGTTGTAGTCAGTTGAATAAACGCTTGTGAGCGGTATACCCAAGTCGTCCATTTTCTTCTTGAGTGACTCGTATAGGTCGTTCTTGTTCCTGTACGCAATGTCGATTGGGACGCCGTCCAGGTAAAGCTTGAACTGGACCGTCCTAGTCTCTTGTGGGGCAGTATCAGATTTTTCAGCCATGAACGCAGACGGAACACGGGTACTGAAAGTCTCCCATTTCGCCTGGTGGGCGGTGCTTGGGTGCAGTTCTCCCGATCGATATCGTTGATTCAGCGCCCCAACCGCTCAGTCAAGTGCACGCATCATTGATTATCTCCTGTTTTTCATTATTTGTTCGCACGTTGTCGTTTGCTTAGGAGATATTTCGAAAAGTAACTTTGTTGATGATTCATAAGTTTTGGAAAATGGAGAAGTTCTAGTGGGATTTGAAAACAGCCCTTGGAACCGCTCCATCGAACTCTCAGAACGTGTTATAATAGATCATACCATATGCATAAAGGTGAGAATTCGTGATCGGGAGCTGTGGCAACTTTTTTTTTTCAATTTCAATTTGCTCATTTTCTGTGAACAGTAGTATCAGGTTTAGATTCAAGACAGTTCTGTCAGCATTTTGGCTGTTAGAGTTGTACAAAGTTATTTTTACACACTTCGCGGTTGCATAAAATATACAATTCTGATGTCCAATGAACTTCCCGAGGTCCATTCTTCCTCAAGAATCGTTCGGTTGAGTCGTACATCTTATCCTTTGTTTCCAATTTTCAAGTGAGTTCTAGATCGCTGATTATCGACGGCCCTACGATTGCATTCCTTTAAAAGACCATGTCTTCAGGTTGAGTATAAAGGCTTAGATTATCCTTTTCTGTGAATCACTTTCTCCTATTAATCAATTCTTTGATTAGCAGTTCTGTTAATTTGCGTATTCGAGATGCCTACAGTTGACTTTGCTTTAAGTTTTTATGCAGAAAATACTGCAGAAACACATCTTTTCAAATTCTTCCCGATTCTTTTTTTCATACTCTTTTTTCTGACCAAGTGTTGCACGAAATCGAGATTGAGATTGTTCTATTTTCGTAGCGTGCCCGTAAAGCACAAGTACGGGTTAGAGTCCCGGCCGAGATTGAAGCTCTGGCCATAAGTCGCCAGCCTTTCAAGACATCCTGGCATTCGTTTCCTCGAAAGTTTCTGAAGCGAGAAGTCAATTCGGTCATGTTTCCCAGTTATACCTAAAATCAAAGTGGCCTTTCAGGGAGCATGTCAGTGATGCTCCTGCGGAAGGTTCGATTGTGTCATTCAGCGGAACTGATCCGGTTCCGTGAGTATCCTGCCTGAACTGGTTCGGGATCAAAAGGCCTGGGTAGACATCAGAAGATGGAACTGAAAGTGAGTTTTTTTTCGACTATTCCTTTTCCTATTGCTCTTTTTTGGCTTGCTATTCATTGAATTTTTTTGAATATTTTTAAGTATAATTTGCTTTCCACTTTTTCATTTTCCGAAGTTGTTCGCTATAAGATTTTGATTGATTTATCCACCTCGATTCTTCCCTTTCCACTCAAACGAGTCAAACTGTGTGTTTTTTCACCATTGCGACCCCTGACTCGCTACAATTGTTGGTGATACTACTCTTCATAGAGACGGAACGTTGTTCCTTTGTAATACGAAGTGTCATTTGGCCTGCCATTCCCATTGGTGAAGTTTTCTTTTGATGAAGTACACTGCAGCTGCAGGAAATAATGTGCACTTTGAGGATCACTGATCTGAGTCAGCATCGACTGGCGCCAGTTTGCACCCTAGGCTCCTCCCAGGCGAATTTCAAGTCGAGTTCCCACGTCAACGAAAGTGTTATTTTCGTATTTGCGATGGATATTTTCACACCTCTACCCCATACAGAAGAACAACCATCCGCTGGTAAGGAAGGTCTTGCAAAGTCTGAAGAAATCAAGGACCAGCAACCTGCGAAACAGGGAAATTCCGTCGCTATCAAGCT